GTAGTCATGATAAATATTCGCAAAGAAAACTAGTAGCTTAGGTGTAACATAAGTTATTATGTTAACATAAAGCAAAGGAAATTAGGATCTACATTTCAAGTAATTAAGTGTTTAGTGATTGTAGACAATATCAATACATTGTGAATACACTATAAAACATTCAAGTCAATCCGGTATTTCTGTATAAACCTAAGGATAATAAAATATGAAAAATGAACATATATTAAGATTATAAACTATGTATTCATAGACTTTGGCTAAATAATATTACTTAAGTTTGAAAAGTTCAGTATAATGAATAGTTATGATGTTGGCGTTTGACCAAATTTTTAGACTTCGTAAATTGTCAATACTTGAAAGTAAAATCTAACTTGGATAAAGGGATGGTGAAGGTAATTTATTTATAATATTAGTTTACATAGAGAAAACAAAAGTTAATTATGAGGTTACAAGAGCTGAAGAAAAGAATGACAATAAATATAACATGACCAATCAAATTATGAAAAAAACCATTGTGAGTTCATTCTCAAATTTCTCCTAAGTTTTCAAAAGCCTAAGTGACCAAAATTTATTTTGACTAGCGAAACAATCAAGGAATTACAAAAGTATGTTACATTCAAATTGTTCTCCAAATTATATAACTTAAGATTCTTAGTTAAAATTAAGTAACTATATCTACATGGTAAAAAGTCTTAAGTGACATTTATATAGAAAATCTAACCATATAATTATTGTACAATTTCTTTTTCCATATTGGGCCATTATTGTCTCTTAACTATTCATATAATTTATTATCACAGTTGACTGTGTATGTAAGTAAATAATTAAGGTTTTCACTACCATTAAATACGTAATAATGGGAAGGTTTTTAGTGCCAAATGCCATGTATCAAATGATCAGAAATACATAGAAGTTGTTTTGAATCACTAATTTAGTAGCTTTTTTATACATAAAGGTTGACTATTGATAACTGTGAAGCAGTAAATTGTGTTTCAGTGATTGCTAAGAGTCTGATAATTGTCAAGTGGATTACCATTATATGATTTATGTTGTATTTATACTAAAGTTGTGTATATATTTATATTCTAGACGAAAACCACTTAAATCTCAACGTCAAAATATGAAAACATGTTTTGTATAGTCTGATTGCGTTAAGCTATTAATCATTTTCAACTATTGGTTTTATGTGTGGTACGTTTTGTCTCTCAAATGACAACAGTGTATATTTTATTTGGTGACTTATGACCACTTAGAATAATTTAATTTCACTTTGATATCAAATGGATCCAAATCATAAAATATGGGTGTGTATACATGTGTGTGTATACACTTAAACGTTTGGTAAACACATTAAGATTTTCGGCAGGTGAATAGACTTGAATTTTGTTTATTTACAATTTAAAAGTTGAGTGTCAAACTATTATTAATGTCTAGGGAGTGTAAGGTCAAATGAATAAATTCCATTGGCAGGAGGATACTGACTTAGGTTTCATACTATTTAGCGCTCTTCAGAATAATAGTCAAAATTCTGTTGGTACCATCAGCCTCCTTATGATCATAAAGATAACTTGCAAACGAGTTACAACTCGCATAAAACCAAGTTTTGAGGCTTTCTATCAACTAGCTTCAAATATCTAGCATCAGTATATAGCATATGTGATGTAGAAGACACCCAGCAAACTGACTGATAAAATTTGAGTAGCACCGAAAAATAGACAAACATGACATTGGCCAGTACTCAGTAGACAGTCAGTTTGTGTTTAAACCCATTTTTAAAAACAATATTACTGTAAAGTATTTCGAATGAATGGAAAACTAAATAACTTCAACAAATATTGTGGAATATTTGATAGGGATGACAACATCAGTTCATAATATGATCATATTAAAAAATTAAGACATTAATTGTTGTGATAAAACTCATCTGAATTTACTTTTCAGTACCGAATGAAATCAGCTGAAAAACTGTTCAAAATCAGTGTGAATAAAATGACTTTTGATGTAGTCCATAATACCTTAGCAGTACACTATTACATAGCATAAAACACAGGATTATCTTTATCGAGTTTTCGTCATCTGGAAAATGTTATAATATTCATTTAAATGAGTCAAAAGAATTCTTAAAATTTTAAATTCACACACACTCGTTACTGAAAATCTGGCAAACTTTCTTTAATGAGATGTGAATTATTTATTAAGCAAACTCGAATAATAATAATACATTAAGTTAGCTGAAGTATTTGTATAAGAAACCAGCAATTATCTCAAAAGAAATGTGTTATCAACTTGAACTGTAGTACTAAACAGCCAGATATGTTTCATGAATAAACCATATAGACATCATAATGTTTATCATGTCAAGAAATTATCTACAGCTGACACGAATGGTAAATGACAATTTATATATTTGCGATACACGATAACATCCAATGATTATAACTTATACAGGTTTTTACAATACCTGTGATAAAATGAAGCTGTTTCCATACGCTAAACATTAAGTCTGTAAACTAATGAACTTTACACACTACTTGTAAAATATTGTTTTAAAACAAGGACAAGTTTCATAATTCAATTAATCCCACTGTTACATCGATTCATCATTATCTTTATTAATTATTGTACAAATAATTAATTAATCACCTTATTTCTGAATAATCCATTGACAATATGATTTATAAGTAGTACTGGCAGTAATTATTATTATCATCATCGCTTATCTCATTAAGTTGAATTACATCCTTTAATCATAATCATAATAATGACTAATCACTGGTTTATGTACAACGTTAGTAATCACTGAATATTTGTTCAGCAAATGAAATGATCATTAACTCATTACCTTTTTTTATAATGACTAATTAAGTGGTCATTTTTTGCATTAATTTTAAGGATAAAACAGGATGCATTGCATTATTAGATTGGACAAAAAATTTCTTTGTTAACCTACTTTGTACTAACAATTGAGTATTGGTTGAAATATATTTATTTTGGTAATAAGATTGTCAGACAGTCTACATTGCTACAAAGCTACTTTAGTTTTTAGACTAATGACTTTTTTTTAGCAGTTTCATAGATTATGTAGGTTAGCCTCAATCTGCAGGTAACATTTCTAAATGACTATTCTATAGAATACATTGCTTAACAGTTTTTTTTGTAAACGAAAACATTTGCCATTCATAAGCTTGAACAGGAGTTAAATACCAAATCTCTAGCTCAATACTGAATAACCTATCATTCAGATGCTCACTTTAAAATTAGAACTTTCTTAGCTTGATCCCTTTTAAGTCTATAGGTGCATACTACAGAGTTATTTTTAAAAAAAACACGAATGTTCTCTGAACTCTACAATATTTCTTTATTTAGTACCAATCAGTCTTGAAAGCTATCAACAACTAAAATTATGCTATTCAAAAGTTTTACGAAATTATGTAATATTCATTTAATTATATAAAAGATTGTTGATGTGGTAATGTTGCTGTTATTTATTTATTTATTTAGGTATCCGAGAAAAATCTAAAATTTGTTTATCATGAAAACAATTTGACAAGAAACCTTAAACAGTTATCATTTTAAGTTTTTCAAATAAAAATTCCAGTGGATTATTATGTTCATTCATGAAATATTTTGTTTAAGTCACCTGAATGAAACACATGGGAATAACTTAATTTCATCTGGTCTAAAAGTGTTTTATACTTATTACAACTACACATTTATTCTATTTACTTCATTTTTGGTGTTATTTTGTATTCAACAGCCTAACATTAACCTTGGCTTCATTCTCACTTAAACTCCATATAATTAAATTAATTATAATGAAAAAGAAAGCTGAACAATTATTAAGAGTTATTTGACCTTAATAAAAAACAAGTTATTAGTTTAGCTTCCTGAGTTCATTTTTCACATTTGATTATTTAATGAAACCTGATATTTGCTTAGCTTGAAGCTAAACAAATGTTTGATAGAATATATTAACGTTTTTATAATAATTGCGTGTACTAATTACTATTATTTCTGTTAAATGAATCGTGAATTAGAATAGCCTACCCATTATGAATTTCGTCATTTAAAATTTCTTTAATACGATCCAATTCGGTTCAATTCATATCATATATTAGTTACTGAATTAAACTAATGAGTTATTTTTCTGTATTACTGATGTATCTTGAAAGATGATAAGAAAATCTATTATTCATCTTCTGGATTCTCAGTAAACCTATAACTGCCATTTTTCATGTGACAAAGCATCAACTTAAATAACGATCCATAATGATGGTGGTACTTCATTTACAATAAAACAATACTTTAGTTTGAGTTAATGTCTCTCATCGTAAATTTTCATATTTTGAATTAGTATGAATAACTTTTGAGCCACAAATACTGATTTTCATTCTATTTACACAAAATCACTCAATTAAAGTCTTCTATTAGCAACGATGATACCTAGAAATATGAGACTGAATTCTAAAAAAAGTCATCATTGTCAAAAACTTCTAAAGACCTAAACGTAGAGCTAAATATTATGTTCAGTGTCTTATAGTCATTAACACTTTTTGCAGTGTTGGTTTTCAACTAAAGTCAACTTTACGTGAATCCTTATAGGTCCTGGGTACGAATCTCGAGGGGGGATTTCCATGGTTTTCTAGCTTCAATCAACTCATGATTTCAACCACTGAAAATTCATATTCAGTTTTTTAAAAAGTCAATATTGATCTTTACAAAAACAAACCAAACCTAGCTATCATTTCCTATTCACCGGTAATTTCACTACTATATAACATAACCTGTCGGAAATTAAATAAAACTCCAAATTTTATTTTACTTTTTTGGTATTTCTTAGAGAGAATTAACTTACTCAGTAACATACTGTTGTTGTTTATTTCTCTATTAACAAGCAACTTGATCCATGTATATTCAGAAGAATTCAGTTGACTTACATTTCTTATTACATCTTTAGTAATTTTTTAAAAAATTATTTTCTGTTCTTGTCTTATTTTCAGGTTACCAGTGAATTTTCAAGTATCCTCCGTCTACTCAATAAGAGAATAAAACAAAATGAAAAAATGTAAAATTATTGATTATTATTTCATATTTTATGCATTATTTATCAATCATATTCAAATAATAATATGTGACCAAACATCAAATATTGATACAACAAATCATAAATCTGATAAATTATCTTCAAATTTAATCAATATTACAAAACATATTGGTCATAGCAACAAAATAAAGGAAACTATTGATAATTCTATTCCTAATGTCGGTTTAGAAGCTGCAGTGATTTCTAGTGCAGGATTAATTGGTGATGGAGTAGTATCTTCTAATAAGTAAGTTAAATTTATGTAACAAATTTTGAATTGTTAATTATTTTAAGTAAACATAACATTTATGTGAGTTTGATGGTTGAATTATTCAAAATTTCAACCACAATGATCCATATCCAAGTCTTAATTTAGATATTTTAGTTTGATAGGCCTAATATCATTATCAGGCCTAGCTCACATCTAATTAAATAAACCTTAATTTATATATTAATTATAAGAATTTTTGAGGAATAATAAGTCATACTTATCTGAATGTTGAAAGAAAGTGAAACGGTAAATAAGCTGATGCATGACATGAACTTTTAAAATGATTTCTTATTTTAAAAAGCGAGTAAATAAGTTTTCTATATGACTAATGAATAATTTCAAGTTATTGTTTTGTCTAGTTGTTTTTTAAAGCAGACTTTAAAATGTTTTACTGCCACAACAGTTTGATTGTTCAATCAGTTACTCTTATCGTATGTATAGTATTTTTGCTGTTTTCCGGACGGATACACATATGATATGGTTCTTTTTATTAGTCGTTAAATAATACTTGTGAATGTTTAATTTTAGAATTATATAGGTATATATGTTGGTTAGTTCATTCTCTGGAAAATATCAATTAACAGTATAGGATTGTGGATAGTATTAAGTTATTGATTGAAATCATGAACGGTTTGATATTAGAGCACCATCGAAAACCTGGAAGTAATGGACGGCCGGTTCGTCCTATTGGAGGACTCCTCAGCAGTGCGCATCCACGATTACGCTCAAGGGTTCAAATCAATCGGTTCACGATATCAATCAGTATCAACTAAATTCTCACAGTCTTAATAATAAACAGCTGATATAATACTATATGTGAAACGTTTTTTCTCGTATTCATAAATATTACAATTTCATTTGTAGATAATCATTTCAAAGGACTAGTAAATTATGCCACTTACCCAAAATGGTATGAATAAATTAATATATTATGTTTGAAATGTAACTTTGTGAATCAACCTAACAATTGTTTATTAAAAGGAGACTTTTGTAAATAACTGATTACATAATATGGCAAGTCAATAAATTCATTAATTAGTTGGCCTAAATATCTCAGTAATAAAGAATTTGAGTCATGACTTGAATAGTTAAATAATAATGTATTTAACTGTAACATAGGGTGAACAGAGTTTGAATTCTTTGATGACTCGCCAGTCCCTTTAATTACCTAGATCAACTTTCTTAAATAACGTATCGAGCAAGTCAAACTTATATATATATATATATATATATATATATATATATATATATATATATATATATATAGAGAGAGAGAGAGAGAGAGAGAGAGAGAAAGAAGTTGATTTCTTATTGAAAGAATACTGTTGTTCAAATTAAATTGTATATATGATCGTGTTCCATTTGGAACAGTTGTAATAAAATCTTTCTATTCTAGAAATCTTCTCATAACTGATTTTTTTACTTATAATAATGATGGATAGAACCTTCACATATCAGATGAACATTCGTATTACACTAAAATTAGATCAAAGTTAAATCTCAATACGATGATTAAATTCAATAATTAGATTTTGAATAAATTCAACTGATTGACACTTACTGTTGATTAATCAATAATTAGTTGTATGGACAATTAACAGATAGTATAAAAGTAAATTACTGAAACCACAAGTGACATCTGGTTTACCAAACTTTATACTTGTTTTCTTCTCCTAACAAGTATTGATCAGCAAAAACTTTCAAGCCAGGTTGCTTTCCTTCAGCAATTCAATATATCAGAGCACCTGTCGAAATATACCGCCCCATTAATTGTTTTTACACTATTTTTGAGAGATACAAAAATGAGTAATCTCTTGAATTAAATAGATCGGTTCATTTAAATATAAAGTAATCTGTTTACAGTAAAAAATGGAAATATGACGTAATAGCTACCTAAAATTGATTTTAATTCATCAACAAAAAGTCATTTTCTTAAACGTTAAATGGGCAAGAAAATCTTCCAATGGTTTCTTATAATACAAAATTAAAATTTATTACATTTAAGTTGATAAAAATCCCGTTCACTATACCCTGTCTCAAGTAAATCACTGTTAGATAGTTAAATATAATAGCAGAATTAAATTTAATTCATCTCCTCTTACATAAAATATTATTATTACTAATGGCTTTATTCAATATTGTATTTTTCGGTACGCTATAGAATTCTCAGCACACAATATTTCAACAAGTTTCCTTTTCTCATTTATTGATCGATAAATATTGAGTGGTCGCCAGTTAGATGTTATCAGTTCAGGAATCGACATCTGAATAATGTATATTCTTCACGATGCATATTGCCAGCAACCACAATATCTCTGATTGGGCTCTTTTGTAACTTGTACAGCGAAATGTGGTAAACTTTTCACAAACACACCTGAAAATGTTATTTTATGAGACTAATAGGCATAAAGGTGTGTTAAAACAGACATGAAAACAAATAACTTGCTGAAATATCTAGATGACAGTAACAGGTAGACCAGATATTCAAAAAGGCCATCCAATAGATATAATAACTTCTAAGCCTACTCAAGATAACAAGTCTATTTTTTTAGTGATCACTATTGATTGTCATCAAGACATTTGATGAATAAGATGGTGGTTGGGAATATTCAACAGGAAACCCTGGACACTAGTTTCGTGCTATCATGCACTCATCAGCAAGGTGTACCTGTAATCTTGAGGACACCGGCTGATTCTATCCAGTCTCACTAGCTTCATAGTCAGAGACGTTTCCACTGAGCCATCCAAGCTGCGACTGACTTCCTGTAGGACTGTAATGTATTCACAATTTATTGATCACTGGGTGAGGATAAATTAATGTGTGTTGGGTTGTTCTTAGTGCAGGTCGAATGTTATCTGACTGTGAAACTGTGTGACATGGAAGTGAATCCGTTAGGGAGCCCCATTTTCCTCAAGATTACAGGTACACCTTGTTGCTGAGTGCAAAATAGCACGAAACCTGAGTCCAGGGTTTTTTCCTGTTGACTGCCTCCAACCACCATCTTTTCTCAACATAGTGCACGTAATGTCAAGTCACCTAGACTAGTGATCGTATTTCAAGTTGGTCGATAGCATTCGATCTGTATATGACATTGATCACCACCCAGTGAACATTTGATGAATTTACTTAGTACCACTTGAAATATCATCTCTTTTATCAATATAACTAAAAAGAAAACAACATATCATTTTAACATACTTATATTTTAACATTATATTTATTTACAAAGTTATATCCCAGATAAATAAAAAGAGAACGAACTATTTATACTACTGTATTTGATTAAATTATCAATGTAACTCTACATATATTAGTACTATCTGGACTAATAACATTGAAAAAATAAAGAGGAGTTAATTAAATCAACAATCGGCACAAAATTATATTATTTGTATAAATTCTATTATTATATCTATATTACTTATTCAAAACTATTATTTAATTTAGTAAATAATAATAATTATATACAAAAATTGTTTACATATTTAGTGAATTTCATTTACCACTACTACTACTACTACTACTTCAACAATGTTTCTTTTTCTAAATAAATAGCTAAACATTCATATTAAGGAAATGAGTATATAGTTAAGTGGTTAGTTAGTAAACTAAATGAGTAGTATTTTACACATAAATATAATATTGAATATTAAGTTTATTTTCTTTACTTAAGTTATGATAATATTCAATGACTAATAATGATACAAAAATGAAAAATAAGAAAATCTCTTATATTTTTCATCATCATCATCAAAAAAAGAAACGTTCAAAAGGAATCGAAATATTTCAAAAGTAGATTCATTGAAGTAATAGAAACTGATATATATGTCTATTGAATACAGAAATAACCTAAAAGAGGGTTAGAGATAATTCAAGAGTTGATGAGTCAGCATACTTATACATAAGTGAATGTATGTATATCATTTAAATTCAGACGTTTATGATCATATTCGACATGTTTTATTAGTCTACTTTACTTAGTTGATTAAATATTTTAATATACTATTTATTTCCTCTACTTAAATTCAATAATGATAATTTTAGAATATAAGGTGTATTATGTATGGGAAAATTACAACAACAACAACACATTACTGAGTCAGCATTTACAATTTTATTTCATTGTTAATTTATATTTGTATGATTGTTGAGAATTTTGTACTACTCAAGGGAGAACTTATCTTAATTATTATAACAGTGTTATCAGGTAGGTAAGAAAAATAACATTGATTATAGATTTTTAATTAATTAATTAAATAAATAAACGTATGCTCACTAGTAACTGGCTTCAGGAGATATTTCCTGGAGTTCTAGTTAGAAGCAGTGACCAGTGGAGTTCAAACGGGTGTGTTGTGAGATATCAACTCACCGAAGACAATGGTTGATGTGTCGCTCAATTTTGTGGATTGGTTGAAGTTAGACATTAACACCGTTGGATACAGGCTTAGTTGTTTAATGGTTAAGCGCTCGCGCGCGAGACTGATAGGATCTGGGTTTGGATCTTACGAGGCAGGATAGTGGATGCGCACTACTGAGGAGTCCCACAATTAGACAAAACGGCCATCCAGTGCTTCCATGTTTTCCATGATGGTCTTAACATCAATTGACTCGAGATCTGAACCATTGAAATAAACAAAAATCTAATTTACAGATAACTATCTGAGAAAAAATGTTTGAAATTATAAATATAAACATGTTAGAATACTGGCATTAAATTGATTTTAATTTTAATTACAAATTAATGTTTATCTCAAATTCTGTCATTCTAACAAGTTACACATATATTACCTACTGTAGAAGATTTTCGTTATTCGATCGAATTTTGTGTATGATATCATTTTTATAAATATGAAGATTTGTGAAGATTAGAGTATTTTCATAATTAAATTCACGAGTCGATCTAAGCTAAGAATTGCACATCATCGACTGATTAAAGTTTGACATTAACACTATTAGATACCAGCTCAGTGGTTTA